CCCCCCCCCCCTCTCCCTCGTAATTCGTAGTTTCGTCTCTGCCATAAACCCTAATATCCCCAAAACCCATAGATTCTCCGGCAACCGACGTGCTATTGCTTTGATTTCGTTATTGATACCGAATCCCTAATCCAGGAATCTCCAATTTTGTCCGCTGTATTCCTGTTGTTTCTTTATCTCTTCTGGAATCGTTCTAGTCGACCAGACAACTCGTCAGCTGTTCAGCGTTGTAGTAGAATTTCATGTCGATTTTGTTTTTCTCTCTTGAAGATGTGATGGTGGTGCAAAATGGAGGGAGGTAAAGGGGTTTCTGGTGCGGAGAATGGGGGTTCGAGCTACGGTGGGAAGCCCCCGAATCCTCTCCCCTCCTCTGTCGGTGGCGCCGCGGCTACTGCATGCAAGCAGTGCTTGGATGGTGAGCGTGTGGTTGCGCCTTGCAACAAGAAGTCGCTGGTTCGACACCCTTCTCTGGTAAGACTTGTACTTTCCCCAAGAATTTAACCCTCGGGACTCGATTTGGAAGTGAATTCACTGAGAAGCATAAAAATTAGAGTTTAGTTGTTGACGAGGTATGATAAAGTCATAGTTCTCATGTCGGGATCTTATTGAATAGGGCGTCTTTGTTATCTACCTCTGGTATCTGTGTTTAGAAACTTAGCTCCTGAGATATTTAATGTGTTGTGGCTTGTATATGAAAGGGGTGTTTTTTCCCTGGGTCATATTGTTTTCTGCTTGAAGTTACTTCTGCAATTCTGATTGGAGTTACTTGGATTGAGAAATTGGTGTTACTTGTAACGTTTGTTATGAGAGGCTTGAGGTTTCTAACAGTCCTATTCTACCAGGTAAAGACAAAGGTTTCAGATATATCTGTAGAGGATGAGCTAATTATAGAGAAGGATAGATCTGAGTTTGTTCCTTCTGTCCGCTCTGGAGCTTGGTCAGACATTGGCTCTCGACCAAACATGGAAGATGTTTACCTATGCGTTGACAATTTCATGGGTGATTATGGCCTCAAGAATTCTGAGCCAAGTTCTTTTTATGGGGTACATTCCTTCTACTCTTTGCATGTTTATACATTTCCTTGCCATCACAAATAGAAAGCAAAAATCCGTTACAGGGTCAATGCGGCTGTAACTTGTGCCTGACTAATCTTGTACTCGATTTCTTTCGCTTTGCAGTTTCTTTTAAGATTGTCTCTCTGAAGAATTAGTCTATTTGTTCATTAAGCACTTTCCTTATTCTAGTTGCCAGCTATCATACCAAGTTCATTCAGGCTTTTTCCATTTCACGTCCATCCCTTTATTCTTTCAGAATTATGAATTTCGTGGATGTAGTTATGGTTTGTACTTGCTTACTAGATTCCTGTTCTCTTAGGTCTTTGATGGGCACGGTGGGAAACATGCTGCTGATTTTGCTAGTTATCATTTACCGAGGTTTATTGTGGAGGATGAGGAGTTCCCTAAAGAAATCAAGAAGGTGCTCTCTTCAGCATTTCTCCGGACAGACACTGCTTTTGCCGAGGCTTGTGCTTTGGATGCGGGACTTGCTTCTGGAACCACTGCTTTGGCAACTCTTATTTTTGGAAGGTTTGTGCTAATCCCTCTTGCATTTAATTTCTCTTTTGCAATAATATGACCTTTAACTCCAAACCGTAAACGTAGTCTTACTGTTATATTGCCTGGAATTCATTTGGGATATAGCTGTTTCTACTTTCTATGAAGTGAGTTGTAGTTCTAATCCATGCTAGTAGTTAGTTCTTGGGATGTCAAAATGAGCGCTCACGAGCCAGCTCATATTTTCCCGAACTGGGCTAAGAAAATTTGAGTCCGAAAAAAGACGGGCCGAAGGAGCCAGCTCGGTCAGCCCACGAGGCGCCTAACGAGCCAGAAAAAAATTTTAAATTTGTTTTTTAAATATTTTTTAATAATTTTAAAAAAGATTTTTCAATTTTAAATATTTTTATTATTATTTTAAATATATTAATAATTATTTTTAATATATTGAATATTTTTAATTATATTTAATGTTTTTATTTTTATTTTTATTTTTATTTTTATTTTTATTTGGCTCGCGAGTCGGCTCGTGAGCTAGAGTGACTTGGGCCGAGCCATGAATTGCTTCTTGGTCCGGATAAAAACGAGCTTAACGAGCTGGGCTGAAAACGAGTTGGCTCGGAATGAACTGGTCCGATCTTGTCTGTGCCGGCTCGTTTTACATCACTAGTTAGTTCTCACATTAGTCTATTGTAAGGGTGCTAGAACCTTCTGTTTCTCATAGAGGCAGTGTTACTTTCCTGTGGGTCAGTAAAGACCGTGTTGGGAAAAAAATATCAATTACAGCCCCATAGCAGTCACTATGCTTTTCGATCATGTCTTTACCGCTTAATATAATTGAAGTTGTTGGTTTCACCTTGCCATATGTGGTACCCTTTTTTCAGGTCTTAGGTATGATGCTCAGGAACGAGAATAGACATACTTTTACGTAATTTGAGAACGTTGGTAAAACGTTGGGTTTATCTTCACAAGAACTTATTAGAATAGATTAAATGACTGTTTTTCTGCTCCTAAAACTTAAAAAATGCAAAAATGACAACATTGGATTAAGACAAATTATCTATGTTTCAGTGTTGAAATTCCGAGTTTCTCCTATATCCAGATTGTTGGTGGTGGCAAACGCCGGAGACTGTAGAGCAGTGTTGTGCAGACGAGGGAAAGCCATTGAAATGTCGAGAGATCACAAACCCGGGTGCAACAAAGAGAGAGAACGAATCGAAGAGTCAGGTGGATATGTATATGACGGTTACCTAAACGGGCAACTTAGCGTGGCTCGAGCCATCGGAGACTTTCACATGGAGGGCATGAAGAATAAGAAGAAGAAAGACGGGCCAAATTGTGGTGGAGGACCTCTAATAGCCGAGCCCGAGGTAATGAAAACCAAGCTAACTGAGGAAGACGAGTTCCTCATCATCGGGTGTGACGGGATATGGGACGTTTTCACGAGCCAAAATGCCGTGGATTTTGCTCGGAGGAGGTTGCAAGAGCACAATGATCCAGGCATTTGCAGTAAAGAAGTGATCGAGGAGGCGTTGAAGAGGAAGAGCCGAGACAATATGACGGTGGTCGTGGTTTGTTTGAAGGCAGAGCCGCCCCTGAGCTTGGTGGCTCCTCGGTCAGCAGACACTAGGGTTCACCGGAGCTTCTCTGCGGAGGGTCTTAAGGAGTTGCAGAGCTTCTTGGATAGCCTCAAGTGCTGAAACAGAGACTGACGACTGGTGGCGACTAAATTTTTTTTTTTTTTTTTTTTTGTGGGGGGTTTAAATATGTTTCTATTACAAATTACAAATCAAATCAAGGGTTTAGGTTTTTGGGTTTTTTCATCTGTGTTTAAGTAATTCTATTTAAATTTTAGAAAGTTGGAAACTGTGCAATATGCGGCGGAAAACATGATTTGTTATGAGGTAAAGGTTGCTATTATTATCTCCTAATGATAGTTGCGTGGGCGTTTTAATCCGTAACCCGGGGGTTTGGAGGTACCCGGTTTAACAAGTACCTGAATAAAGGGTATCCGAGTATTAACGATGATGAGATCGAGTATTAATAAGACTAAGTTTTCGACCTCCGAATCCGAGTGGGGGTTCAATTATTTTACAAAGGGACCCAGGGGTATCCGATATATTTGTTAAAAATCTAAAATATACTTTATATCTATAATATTTTTGTCTAAATTATTCTTATTATTTATTAAAATACTTTTATTTTAGTTCAATTTTTTAATGTTCTAAACCCTTCTATACAAAAATTTCATCATTCCAAATCTCATTCTACGTAACCGAATCAACCATTTATCTCTCTCAAAATTTTACTCATCTCTCTTTATCGTGAATTTTTCTCTTTATACTCTAACCTCTCTCATTTGTATTTTCTATATCTATCATTTTATAGTTCAAAATTTTATAAATCGTATGGGTCCGGGTACCCATGAATATAAGACCGAAAATCTCATTAAACCCGAGTTACAAGTACCCGGATTTTATGAAGCCAAGACTGAGATAATATTTTTGTAAAACCCGTGGTAATGAAGACGAGACAAGGTTTTCTAAAAATTGGGGGTACCCGACCCGTGCCCACCCCGTGCCCACCCCTAATAGTTGGTTAAGGATCATTTATGTTTCTTTAGGTCAAAGAGCTTACCATATATCTTTGTTTAATGGGTAGAGAACTGTTATCTTGATACGTATAGAATATTTGACTATTATTGATAAAGGGTGATTTTGAAAAACAATATAAAAAAAATACATGATAAATAATGTCATTTATTTTGAAAAAAATATATTCTAAAATATCATGTAAAATTAAACGAAGAGAAGAGAGTATATAAATGAAGACAGATAATGTATTCTGATATCCTATTATAAAAAATGTTAATATATCATAGAATTATCATTATTTTATAAATGAAAAATCCCAAAAAAACACTAAACTTTTCAATTTTGACAATAAAAACACTTAATTTTATTTTTTGTCAAATAAACATTAAACTTTTTAAACGATTCTAAAAAAACACTTAACTTTTTAAATGATCCAAAAAATATATGAACTTTTCTGCGATTATAAAAAAAAGTACTGAACTTTTTCAGTGATCCAAAAAAATACATGAACTTTTTTCGATTGTAAAAAAAACTAAGTAAAATAATCTGACATTTTGCATCTCTTTGTGTCACGTCAGTCATTTTATTTATTTTGACAATCGTAGAAGACTTAAGTGTTATTTTGTCAAACTTAAAAAACTTAATGTTTATTTGATAAAATAAAAAGTTCAGTATTTTTTTGTCAAAATTTGAAAGTTCAGTGTTTTTTTTTTTGTATTTTTCCTTTTATAAATTTATACGGTTAGGTTCATTTTTCATCTTTTTTGCATTGATTTTTCTCATCTCGCCTTTGTCCTTACTTCGTCTTTGTCTCATTCTTATACTTAGACTATATCTCTTTTTTTAATAACTAGGAGGTTCACTGGACCTCTGATCCACTTAATCTTCTGGGTTTCAGAGCCATAACTATAACCATAACTATTTCAATATTTGAGATACCCAACATATTTATTTTGTTTTTAAAAAAACTCATAATGGGATTCCAAATTATTGATATTTGGAATTGAATATGTCACGTCAGAATCTCGAGTATTCGGCTGGCAAACTATAAAGTTAATTGGTCCGTAGAATAACTTCTTGAAAATATTGTCCACAACGTGCTGGCAAAGTGGATTGGTAATAGACAAAGTGGTCTGGCCATTCCCGGTTCGAATCCATGTGTGGACATCACATTTATAAAAAAACACTTTTTTAAAAAAATACACATAATGTATAATGGGACGAGACAAGAAAGTATAATTGGTCAGTTAATGAGAGGAAAATAAAAGTGCAAACAATTAGCAAAATCGTAATATGAATTATTTAACAAAAATATTCTTAAAATTAATAAAAACAAGGTAATTAGTTAAAAAAACTGATATCGAATCCATATTAGATTGAGACAAGACGGTTATAGGTGACAATGAAATAGATAGAGAATCGGTGATATTGTAATAAATACGATATCCTTAAAGATGAATAACTCGCATAATTATCACCACAATAATTGCAAGTGATATTTTCATTATCAACCCGAGTCATATGATTTCAAATACTAGAAATCTTTTTTCGTTTTCTACCATTCAGTGAATTTCCGTTTCCCCTTTCCATATGAGACCATTCGAAAAGTATATATCAAGGCTATATATATACACCAAAATCTAATTAAACCACTCGGCAACATATATATATATATATATATATA